CCCCAAAACCCCAAAACCCCGTAAATTAGAGTAGCTTCTATAAATAAAAATACTCAAATTTCCTTATTAAATTCAATAATTTAATGATGTCCTTTAACTTCAATAGTGATTATATTAATTACAGAGGATAGGTTCAAAAGCTATTCTCAAATAGGATATTATGTTACTTAATCTGGTCCTCATAATCTTATCTTTCGACGCTCACATCATAGATCTCCTTGTTTTGCTACTACAGCAGATTATCACCCATCAAGTTCTACACATCAGTGGGATCAAACATGGCACCCTCATCAATAGCTTTTTCTAGTAACTTATACTCTCTACTTTCGAAGTAGGCAGTAAGAGGGAGCTAATCGCCGAATTTACTAATGAACTGAGCTATCTTGTACTTTGTGAGCTCGAACTTAGACTGGAAAAAGTTTACTTTTTAATGAAGTACATCGATATCAACATTAAAGTATTTCCGCTCATATGTGATCAGCTTTTTGAACCTTTTCTCAGATTTAATCTTGTAATACTCCACATCCTATGCTAGTCTCTCTTTTTCTTTTTCAGACACTATGATCTGTGATTCTAATTCTCTTATTTTCTACTCAAACTCCATAATCTTAACCAGAATGTTTTCATCTTTCGAGTTGACTAGATTATTAATTTGATCATATTTATCTAGCAGCCTCTGATGTTCTTCCAAGATACGTCTGTATCTTAGACTCATGTCGTCATTTTCCTCTTTAAGCTGCATGCTATCTTTAGACATATCAGACAGTATAGAGTAAATCTCCTCAACTTCCTCGCTATGCTCCTTTTTAATTTATTGCAATGTTCTGACATAGAACTATTCCAATGAGTTATAGTTCTCTCTTTCCCTTTATTTTAATTCAACAATTCTTTGATTCTCTAGATCGTTAAAGGTAATTCAAAATTTATAGATATACATTACTGTGAGTTAAGCTAGCTAAAGTTGAAATCTTTCAATACCTCTAAGTATCCATATTCCTTGCTACTCATGGCTATCTAAAGTCTCATTTCTTTATTTTAGGCTTTCAATTTAGTTAATTCATCCTTAAACTCATTAATTTATTTATCCTTAGCATCCATTACCTTTTTAAACTGTGATATTTACTACTGCAGCGAAAAAATTGTCTTAAATATTGACTTTATTTGCAATGGCTGCGGGTAATTTTGCATATGAGAGTAATTTTGATTGTAACTTGTATTATTCTATGTGGTAGAAGTTTGGTTCATGATGCTAGAGTCAAAACCAAAATTCTACATAGTGCTATTCAGCTACTATGCCTACTGTTAATGATGGATTTAGTATTAAGATTGTAAAAATGGAGTTGTCCTTGGAGAATTGTTCGCACTCTATTATCCCTAATGACTCATGTATCTCTTGCTATCCTCTCCACCAGGACAGAGAGACTTTATACGACTGTGTTTTTTATTACCATACATTACCTTTGGGACAGTGGGATTCAATATATCTCCAGGGGATTCTGGCTCTATTGATGACTGCCATTTTCTTTTGAGTTATTTTAATTAGGTTTTCTATCCTAGAACTACAACAATTTTAATGATACATGATAATCGTACTTTAACCTTAAGAATTGAGTCTGCTTTTCCTGGCTTCTTTAATCAGATTCAAGTCTACCGAATCAGAAAATCTTCTGTTGACCTATTTACTTATTCTTCCTCCTAGTATTGAAGATCTATTCGTGGTATTGTTGTTATTAATGATTCCAATATCCAGGAAGTCATCGTCAAGTTTCTTATTAAGAAGTGAATCAAATTTGACCTTCAGCAGATTTTCATTTCGCTTGTTAGTGTCATAGTTAGACAGATGAGAGTGGTTAACGAGGGCGTTTTAATGCAATATTTTATGATTACTAGTAACGCTGGGTGGCCCAACAACACCATTATTGACTAAGTGATGATTGATGTCATTATTATTGCCAGCACTATGCCCATTATTATCTGCTAACCTGCCATGTTAAGACTTCCTGAAAGTAGATATTGACAAGCTAAGCTAGCATCGATAGTCTTCTATTTTATTGTTGCTTGTAGGCAGGTTTCCAGTGGGTAGAGGTGGTATTATTGCATGATTTGTGGCAATACCTTGCAGCTTAAGATTTTACATTAAATTCATGTTCGATTGAAATATTATTGTCAAGATAAATATATTATCCTATTTATTTGACATAATTAATTAACTTACACCTAACACTTGATTTTTTTAAATTTCATAATTTCCATTTTTACCTAAATTTAATTTTGATGGGGTTTTGGGGTTTTGGGG